AAGCCTCTTCTGTAGGCATACAGGATTCAGCATTCCAGGAGTATGAAAAGCACAGTATATTTTTTTAAATGTTCACTCAATTTTATAATAGTCCGTTTTTTATGAAAATGTTATCTTAGAAGAGGGGCTCTAGATACCATGCATGAAAACGTTACCTTAGAAAACAGGCTTCAGGTAGCACACATGAAAAGTACAAACAGAATTTGCTAAATTCTATTGCTATTTACTGTTAAATAGTACCTTATGAGCAAATATATAAGCCCTCTGGTGCTTTTAACAAATGAGTAAGCCACAGATAAGACAGATGGTATATTAGGATCATATATAAACATAGCATACATAAACAATTAGCAATATATTCCAACTTTTCTATCTTTAATATTTTTACATTTTTAATACTTTTCATTGCAAGTCCTTTAACTTGACTAGACCGGATTATTCACAGCTATTAAAATTAAAAATGGTGGAGTGCACTATATTTAGTTTCAGTATCTAAGGTACTCAATATTGTATAATAATTATTTTAGACACGATATACACTTAAGTAGTAACATTCTTTTTTTAGCAGCTGTCTCTGAATTTTCAGATAACAATCACAAAAACTAAAAACACACTATCACTTTAAGAAGACAGCATTTTATCCTTTCACCTCAGTCTATTATTTGCTTTAGTGAGATCTTGTCATTCGCTCCCATTCTTCTGACAATTTTTAATCTTTTCCCCATGAGATTCTTTATAATATACTCAATCTTCTTAATAAAAATATATCTTTTTCCTTATAGCCCACACTGAAAAAGCTTATATTCCTAGTTTTTTTCAGATATATTATTAAAGCTTTAGATATGCAGTGTTACCAACTACAAAACAGGAATAATCATATTTACCTGTAGACTACTATAAAAAGCTAAAAAAGTATAGCTACAACTAAACCTAAAGAAGTTTAACTGAAAACTCTATTTTCATTTCTTATTATCATTCATTGGGAAAATGCATACATATAGATTTATAAAATAACCACTGTTATGCACTGACAGAAATTTCAGCTAATTCTAAAACATTGTTCAGAACACAAAATAATCAATGTTATTTCGTAAATAAATAAAATAATTTACCCTCGCTTTAACAGCATTCCTTGGTTAGCATATTACTTTAAAAGCATCAAAATCGCTTATATTAGCTATGAAGTTTAGTTAACTCTGGAATCCTATATGAAATGTATTAATGTCTGCTAACAGATTAAAGCACCTTAAATAAATAAATCCAGTACAAGCAAAAGAAGAAAAAAGATTATGCAAAAGTCCAACCTGAAACTTATTTACATGGAAAATATTCAAACTTAAAACAGTATCTTTTTATACTAAATAAATGTTAAGTAGGAATAACCCAAATTTTATACCTAAGTTTATGCATGCTTCTATGTTTATCATGAGAATATCAACACATCAACAGGAAATCTTAGAAAACCAGGGACAAACAACTCAAAAGCTTTCAGAGGGAAAACAAGACAAAAAGTCCGAGCCATTTGGTTGCTGTAGTTTCATAGTACATTTTAAACTCATCAAGTGAATCCTCCATTTTCTTCTTTTTTTCATTAGTTCTCTGGTCATCTGAGGCCCTAAGCAATTTCATATGAATTTGAGGATGAGCTTTTTTATTTCTAAAAGGGATTACTATAAATTACTGATAATCTGTAAATTGTATTTAAACAACATTATGAACACAGGCTCTTTTTCCATTCATGTAAGTCTTCTTTAGATTCTTTTAGCAATACTTAGTTGTTTTCAGTGTGCAAATTCTTCATCTCCTTTATGAAGTTTATTCCTAGATATTTTAATCTTCAGTTGATTTTGGAATTGGAACTGATTTCTTAATTACCTTTTCATATTGTCCATTGCTATGTAATAGAGACATAAGTAATTTTTTGTGTTGATCTTAAAACAACTTTGCTGAATTGATTTATTAGTGAGAGTAGCTTTCCTGTGAATCCACTGAGCTTTTCTATAAGAGATGATAGCATCTGTAAACAAAGGTAGTTTTGGTGATGGGTTGGTTTTTTTTTTTTCCTTTTTAATTTGGATTCCTTTTTTCTTTTTAATGATTTGCCTACTATTTCTAGAATACTGAATAATAGTGGGTAAAGGCACATTTGTCTTTTTCCTAATCTTAGATGGAATGTTTCCAAACTTTTCTCACTATTAACAGTGGATTTTACAAGTCCTTTTAAGTAGTTATGAATGTAGAATACATAAGAACTTATGCTTGTATCTTTTAAAAACGATAGCATGTTTGTTAGGAATAAGATCCAGGAATTTAACTCATATTTGTCGTGAACCACATACAAAGATTCACAATTTGTTCTCACTAAATATGGCTGGTATTGATAACATTTCAATACAGAAACTGAATAGTCCATAAATTAATTAACATTCTCTAAGTCATTCAAATAATCAAGAGTGGTATCAAAAATCATACTCTCATCTATATTACTCCTACCTCTATTCTCCTACCATTATGTTGTTAATTGCCATCAAGTTGGTTCTAAATCATAACCTGAAGTATGATACAATGGAATGCTGCCGGGCCCTGTGCAATCTCCAGGATCTTTCTGATAAGTTTGGGATCACTACTGAGGTTACTACAACTATGCATTTAATTGAGGCTTTTCGTCCATTTTGCTGACCATCTCCTGTGCCAGCCAGGATGTTCTTCCTAGCTAGCAGTCGGTCATTACTGATGATGATCCAAAGTATGCAAGACTAATTATCACTATCCTCATGTCTAGAGAGTATTCTGGCTATATCTCCTCAAAGACTCTTAATGTTTGTTCTTCTGGTGGTTGACACTGCAGTCATTATTTCTTGTTAATAACATAATTCAAATTATATCGATTCCTCCTTAATCATTGTTGAACTTTCATTCGCATATGAAGCAACCAGAAAGACCATGGCTTGTGGCAGACAGGCCTCAGATACCAAACTCCTATCTTTCATTTTGAATACTTTAAAGTGGTCATTTGCTATAGATTTACCCAATACAAGAGGTGATATCTCAACTGATGCTTCTGTAGATGCTGACTGTTGATCCAAATAGAAGGAAATCCTTAACAATTTCAATTTTTTCCTGTTAATTATTATGTTGTTTATTGATCCAGTAGTGAAGCATTTGTTTTCCTTTATATTCAAATGTAATCCACATGAAGACTGTCATCTTTTACCTCTAACAGTGTTTCAAGTCCTCTTCGCTTTTAGCAAATAAGACTGTCTTCTGCATACACAGGTCTCTAACCAATCTTCCTCTAATCCTAATGCCACATTCTCCTTCATATAGTCCAGCTTCTTAGATTACTTGCTCTGCATACAGACTGAAAGAGTAAAGTGAAAGGATACAACTCTGCCACATATCTTTCCTGATCTTAAACCATATAGTATCCTTTTCTTCTGTTAGAATGACTGACTCCCTCTTGATCCATACACACATTCCACACGAGCAAAAACAAGTGGTCACGAACTTCCTTTCTTCATAATGTTACGAAAATAAAAGTAAACATCTTTATGGGATGAACTTTAATTCTTTCATCTTTAAAATAATATTTACTTCCATGTGCTAAAACAATAGCTTAAATGACAGAAATAAAACGATAATAACATATTAAGTCCTTATTTGACATTAATTATACTCTAATGAAAACTAAAAAAACAGCAATCATATAATTAAATATTGTAACAGCAGACGATGGTAGATAATAAATCTATCAGAACAGTAAATATAAAAAAACAGTAAACAGCTAGAAGAAAGTGGCACTGGTCATCTTTAATTAAGGTGATAAGCACAGGACTTTCCAGGATATGTCATCAAAACAAATTATGTCTTAGGAAACTATACAATATTGAGCATTTGAAACACAGCTCATCTAAACTGAGGTATGCTTTAAGTTTAAAGAACACAACAAATTTTTATGATTTTTAGAAGAAAGGAACGTTATTTCACGAGTAATTTTTTTTTAAATCTCTATCTTGAAATGGCCCAATCCTCTCACTTTTTAAAAGGAGGCAAGTAAAAAAAAAAAAGAGGCAAGTAAAAACTTACTGACATGAACTTCCCTACAGCTTTACTGGGAAGTGATCTAGATGATGGTGACCTAAAGTGGATTAGGCAAATGTGGCACACAGTACTGAATTTGGGACAGATCACAAGAGTCAACAAAACTTACTGACAAAGTAAATGTGAGCGATAAGGAAAGAAATTATTCAGAGTCCTACAATTTTGGCCAGAGAAGATGGGTAAATGGTGCTACATATGCCAATAGTGAAATGAAAGTGAAAATAAAAGAGTTCTCTTTTAGAATCTTATGTTTAAAACACCCTGTTAAGTATCTGAAGACATACTAAACTATGGTTATGGTATTCACAAATCTTAACAATATTATTCAGAAGAAATATATATGATACTCATAAAGTGGTGTGGTGTTCAATCCAAAAAGCTGTACCAAGCAGCACTGTGTCCAGTACTTTGTAGGTCATATATACTCAATATAAAAACTGTTAATTAACTTACAGTATAATGCAGGCATGTAAATACAAGTCATAAATCATACTATATTCTGCAAGAAAGAAGATCTGAACAAAAATTTAAGCGTTCATATTTATTTCCTAACAAATCAGAATTCAAATGTTTAATTCACTTCACTAAATATGTGAAGGACAGCAAAATTTAAACTCTCTATCCCTTAAGTTTATTCATTTCTAAAATGAAAGTAACATCTGCTTCAGAAAATAAGGATTAAATGGGATAAAAATGTAAAAGTAATTTACATCAACCCAGGAACACAGTAAATATCTAATACAAGAGAGCTATTAATAAACAAAATTAATTAAACACTAATAACTAAAGTAAGGAACAAAGTCACCTAAGTCTTTCAGAGCTTTTAATTCTAGTTCTACTTTAATATTATAATACTTTTTATTTTCTTTCATAATTCTCCAAAATGTGAAAAGTCTTACCTATAAGTAGTGTTTGGAACATATACATCTCTAGCAGGAAACTCCAAAATTTCTCTGGTAGGTCTAACTCTACTATCAGGGTAAAGCTTCACTTGAAGCAGCTCTGGGGTTAGGCAGTAATGAGGATTTTCAGGTGCAGGAGAAATGTCGATTTTCAGCTGAGCTACACATTAAAACAATATGAGGAAAATGGTATAAACAATAATTTTTTAAAATGTATAATAAAATATTTATGAAGGAGTTAGTCCTTATTTTTGCTAGAAGCCAGAACACCACACAGACCAATCACCACTATCTCAGGCCACTTACATTATTTCCTTTTACCAAGTCTCAAACCTATAAAATTATGATGCAGAAATAAAAGGTTATAAAACTAAGGAATGGGAATGAGGGAAGGAAAACAAGGAGGGCTCTAGCCTAGGAAACAGTTAACATTCAAAAGTTAAATTTAGACATGGCCCACTTCAAAACAGTTTACTTTGGAATACTTTGATTCAACATTATAATAATTTTTTCACAGTATCATTCCATATACTTAAGTTTTGAGAAAAGAATTTCAGTACTCAAATTATTAAGGGGACTGGATCCTACATCTAAATCACATAATATTAGATAGGAAAGCAAACAGATAAGAATTGACAATAAAAAGAACTGAGTAGGACAGGAACACACATTATAAACAATACATTTTATAAGTGATGATAATAATTTCAATCATGTCTACTCAAAATAAAAAAAATACCTGTAATAGGTCTCAGTCGTCGTAAGACAGAAGACGGCCTTCTCATGTCAGCAAGGAATTTGTACAAATCTTCATCACTTAAGCGGTCCCCTTCCTGGTTTCACACATACAAAAAAAAAAGTATTCAATATAACAGTGATTTTAAATGTATAATTCTTGTTAATAATTCCATCTGACTTCTTCAAATGGAATCAAAATACAAAATAAAGCTAAATTAACAAAAACTAAATACCATCTTGATTTTCTTATCATTTGTGCTAATTTCATTGTTCTCATCACATGTTGGGAAGCTGACTCAGCAACATCTATGAACAAAAGATAGAAATCTCTCCCTATCCTGTGTCATCCTCAGTATCTCTGCTGTATTCAGCCCACTGTTGTAATCACTCTCAATCCACCTCGTTGAGGATCTTCCTCTCCTTGGCTAACTGTGGAGTTAAGGGTCTATTGTTCAAAATGGTTTCCCTGACCATTAACTAACTTTGCCATGTGGATGAGCCAGGATATGCAGATAGGGTGTGTTAACCTATCTATAAGGGGATTAAGCAGTCTCACCATTCAACTGAGTAGATCTAGCAGCAGAATTGGAGAACCTAACAAAAAAGAGGAGAAAGAGAAAGCAACAACTCCTAGGGGCCAGAAAGTCTTGTACCAGTCAGATCAGGGGCTATGGGAGCCAAAGCAGAGAACCACAGACATAACATGAGAAAGCGTGAATCTTGGGACTGCTACCCCATGGAACCTGAACTAGGAGCCTTTGCCCAAGTCTGCTGGATATCTATGGTGTGGGTACCAGGTGGGAGGAAGAGTCATAATTGGAAAAAACGACAGCTTTGTAACTCTGGTCAAAGGCCATGAAACTAGGGCTGAGGTGCCTGCAAGCATATTTCAGAAGCTGTCCTGACTGATTGTATTCTGCTACTAACCTGAATCATAGTCTTTTGACTTCTTGAACGTGGTTCTTTGTGATCTGTGAGCTACCACTACATCAGATTTAGTACCGAACAAAACAGTACGACTGGTATTGGGATGAGCAGAAAGAACTATGGGAGTGTGGGGGACATGTCTGACCTCATGGAAATCCGTTTTGTGTTGATGATGCAATTGGCAAAGAGAATTTCCCTTTGTGATGCTGGTAAAGGTAAAATAAGGCTGTCAGCATAGAGTCCTGTCTCTTTTCAAACTGACCTTCTACTTTTTCAGATTGTTGTTATTGTTATGTGCTATTGAGTTGCCTGTAACTCACAGAGACTCTATGTACAACAGCCCTAAACCCTGCTCTATCTAATCTCACTGTCTCTGACACACCTATTCCCATTACCCTGGTCACTGAAGCAATCTATCTCACCAAGGATCCTCCTCTCTTAAGTTGACCCTCCACCCTCCCAAGCATATGACCCTCTCCTAGTAATGATCCCACCTTGAAACATGTCCAAAGTATATCAGATGAAGAGTCAGAATCCTTGCCTCCAAGAAGAGGACAATCCTTTTTGTTCTCCTGGCAGTCCATGGTATATTCAATACTATTCTCCAGCACCACAGCTCAAAGGCATCAATTCTCCTCCTATCATCCTTAGTCACTGTCTAGCTTTCTGAGGCAAAGCAAGTAACTGAAAAGACTATGGCCTGGATCAGGCACACCTTAGTCTCCAGACTGACACTGTTGCTCTTCAGTACTTTGGAGAGGTCTCTAACAGCAGAATTTCCAATGCAAATAGTACTTTCCTGACTGGTGATACCCAGAGTGTTGATTATAAATCCAAGAAAATTAAAGCTGTTAACAATCTCAATCTCTTCACCATTTATCATGATGCTGCCAATAAGCCCAGTGGTGAGAATCCTTGTTTTCCTTGATGTTGAGCTTCAATCCATATTGGAGGCTATAGTCCCTGGCCCTCTGCAGTAAGAGTTTCAGGTCCTCCTCAGTTTCAGCAAGCAGGGTTCCATCTTGTGCATAATGCAAACTGTTGATGAGTCTTCTTCCAATCCTGATGCCACATTTCTCCTCATAGAGCCCAGCCTCCAGATAATCTGTTCTGCATATAGACTGAAAAGGTACAGCAACAGGAAACATCCCTGGTGTACAATTTCTTTTTTCTTAAGGATCCGTGTCTTCGTGTAACATGTCCAATGTATGTGAAAGGAAGTTTCACCATTCGTGATCTAAGGAGCAACCTGGTTGTACTTCTGCCAAAACAGGTTTGTTTGTACTTTTTGGCAATTTATGGGATATTCTTCGAGCTCTAGTGGTCTAGTGGCAAGAAGCTGTGCTGCAATCTTAAAGGCAAGCAGTTAGAATCCCCCAGGTGCTCTGCAGGATAAAGATGTTCAATCCCCTCCAATGTGACTGAAAATTGTCTCTGAAGATCCACCTGAGGGCCAGTTATGGGTCAGTTCCAACTCAGGATTACACCACAACCACAATAACAACAAAAGATAGTCCGTGTTCTTCTTTCCAATTCCACAATTCAAAGGCGTCAGTTCTTCTGTCATTCACTATGCAACTTTCAGTGACATAGGAAGCAACTGAAAAATACTATGGCTTGGATCAGGTGCACCTTCGTCTTTAAACTGGCATCATTGTTCTTTAGCACGATGGAGAGAGGCCTTTGACAGGAGATTTGTCCAGTGTAACACATCTTTTGATATCTTGACTACTGCAAGATATTGCAGGGATGAATCCAAGTAAAATAAAGAATAAAACAATCTTTTCTGTATCATGATCTTGTCTATTGGTTAAGTGATGAGGATTTTCGTTTTCTTGATGTTGTCCTATAATTCATTCAGAGTTCTCCAAATACACAAAACTACTTAGTATTGTTGAGATTCTGCATTTGCTGGCCCCCCTGCCTGGAATGGAATACTCTAACTTTGTGTGTGGACCTTCAAAACCACCACTCCACCACTTCGCATGTCATTTCCTCGAGGCATCTTTCATGACTCTCTCCTCCAGAGTTAAAGACCTATTCAACTATACTACTTGCAATTTAAATGGATTTCAAGTCCTTCATCACATACTATTTTTTTCTTTTATCCTTCAAGTTTTCTTTTAATTCCTTGAAATCATAATTACATGTATCTACATGTAATTGCTTTGTGAAACCAAAAATTCTCAAACATATTTCCTTAAATTACTACATGACAGAACTATACCTGTTTAAAAAAATTTGTCACTGTGAGAGTAGCAGGTCGAAAGCTGGTTAGGTTACAAGCATCATCTCCACTCGTTGTCCTTTCAAGTGATCGTCTACCAACAATACTTGAGTTTCTCCTCTCCGACCAAGACCCTTTTCTCTCTACCAAGAAATATAATAATGTATTTTATTGTCATGTTACGTAACATTTCATTTAAATAAACTATTCAAATGCAAGAAAGAATTCACTAAAGTTGAAAATTATACAGTCAACAAACTGATTAGAAAAAAATATATTTTAGGGAGAAAATAACAATGTTGTACTACTACTAATCTTTTAGTTATTATTCTACTCTACCAAGGTAAAATGAAGTCTGAACTATACAATGATATACGCGTATAGCTAATAATGGGCAAAACAGAACACATATAGATGAACTGCATATTAGGAAATATTTATCACTTCTGAAACATTATTCACTTTTCCTTTAATCTCAGCACTTGAGTTTGAAAGAATTATAAGATAAACTTGCATGCAAATTCTCTGCAAACCTCTATTTAAAACCAACAGAACTATAGAAACCAAGAAGGAAACAGAAAACTTGAACAAGAGTATAAACAAATTGAATCTAACATATTTAGAGAATAGAATATTTCACAAAACAGCAGCAAGAGTCTTCACAAGTATATACAGAACATTCCCCAGAAGGTGATAAATCATAAAACAGATAATAAATTTTTTAAAAATTGAAATTATGAAAGAACTATAAAGTAATATATTCATAGCTGTCATAAAAATATTCGTCTTCAACTGACCACACATGTTGTTGTTGTTGTTATGTGCCGTCAAGTCCCCTAAGACAGCAGCCCTAAACTCTGCCCTATCCTGTGTCAATCTCACCATCTCCGACACACCTGCCCCCATTACCCCAATCTCTGAATCAATCCACCTCATCGAGGATCTTTCTCTCCTGTGCTGTCCCTCCACTCTCCCAAGCATGACTTCCCTCTCTAAGGACTGATCCCTCCTTATAACATGTCCAGAGTATGGCAGATGAAGCTTCAGAATCCTTGCCTCCAAGGAGCAGCCCGGCTTCACCATCTCTAGGACAAACCTGTTTGTTTTCCTAACAGTCCATGGTATATTCAATACTCTTCTCCAACACCACAGCTCAAAGGCATCAATTCTCCTATCATTCCTAGTCATTTTCCAGCTCTCTAATGCATAGCAAGTGATTGCAAAGACCATGCATGTATCAGGGGCACCTTAGTCTCCAGACGACATCCTTGCACTTCAGCACTTCAGAGAGGTCTCTAACCACAGACTTTCCCATTGCAATATGTCTTTTAATTTCCTGGGTGCTGGTGCCAAGAGAGTTGACTGCGAATCCAAGCAAACCAAAACTATGAACAATCTCAATCTCTTTACCATCCATTATGATGCTGCCAATCAGCCCAGTGGTGAGAATCTTTGTTTTCCTGATATTGAGTCTCAATCCATACTGAAGACTGCAGTCCCTGGCCTTTCACAGCAAGTACTTCAGGTCCTCCTCAGTTTCAGTAAGCAGGGTTGTGTTATCTGCATAACACAGATTGTTGATGAGTCTTCCTCCAATCCTGATGCCACACTTCTCTTCATAGAGCCCAGCCTCCCAGATAACCAGTTCTGCATAAAGATTGAAAAGGTATGGAGACAGGACACAGCCCTGGTGTACATCCTTCCCAATTCTGAACCATGTAGTGTATCCTTGCTCTGTTCTGATGACTGCCTCCTGGTCCAAGTAGCACAATCAAGTGTTCTGGGATTCCCATTCTTCTCAGAGTTAGCCACAGTTTGTTACAATCCACACAGTCAAATGCCTCTGCATAATCAATGAAACAAAGATAGACATTTTTCTGATACTCCTAGCTTTCAGCCAAGATCCATCTAACATTAAATACAATATCCCTACTATCACGGCCACCTCTAAACCCAGCCTGCACTTCAGGTAGTTCTCTACTGATGTGCTGTTCTAGACGTTTTTAGATAATATGCAACAAAATCTTGCCTGCATATGATATTAATGATTGTTGCTGTTGTTGCTGTTATGTGCCGTTGAGTCGTTCGCGACTCATAGCAACCCTATGTACAACAGCCCTAAACCCTGCTCTATCCTGTGCCAATCTCATTGCCTCTGACACACCCATCCCGATTACCCCAGTCACTGAATCAATCCACCTCATAAAGGGTCTTCCCCTCCTGCGCTGTCCCTCTACTGTACCCAGCATGATGTCCCTCTCTAAAGACCTGTCTCTCCTTACACCATGTCCAACGTATGTCAGACGAAGCCCCAAAATCCTTGCCTCCAAGGAGCAGCCTGGTTTAACCCACTCTAGGATAAATCTGTTTGTTTTCTTGGCAGTCCATGGTACATTCAATACTCTTCTCCAGCACCACAGCTCAAAGGCGTCAATTCTCCTTTTATCCTCCCTAGTCACTGTTCATCTCTCTGATGCATAACAAGTGATTGCAAAAACCATGGCCTGTATCAGGCGCACCTTAGTCTCCAGAGAGACACCGCTGCTCTATTAATGATACTGTTCGATAATTTCCACACTCTGTGGGATCACCTTTCTTTGGAATGGGAACAAATACAGATCTCTTCCAGTCAGTTGGCCAAGTGGTTGCTCTCCAGATTTTTTGGCACAACTTAGTGAGCACATCTAGGGCAGCATCTGTTAGTTGAAATATGTCAATTGGTATACCATCAATTCCTGGGGCCTTATTCGTAGACAATTCTTTCAAAGCAGTCTGAACTTCTTCCTTCATCACCATAGGCTCTTGCTCATATGTTGTTTCATTAAATTCTTCTGTGTCTGCCAATTCCTTTTGGTATAATGACTCTATATACTCTTCCATCTTCTTTTAATACTTGCAGGATCGCTCAATATTCTGCACAAAGTATCCTTAAGTATTGCAACTCGGTGCTTGAATTCCCTCTTCAGTTCCTTGACTTTAAGAAATGCTGAGGAAATAGATGATTTCTATCAACTTTTACAGTTAGAGATCAATTGAACATGCAGTCAAGATGCATTAATAGTGATGGGTGACTGGAATGCAAAAGTTGGGAACAGAGAAAAAGGATCAGTATTTGGAAAGCATGGACTTGGTAACAGAAATGAGGTGGGAGATAGGATGACAGAATTTTGCACAATCAACAATTTATTCGTTGCAAATATATTTTACAAGAAACATAAACGCAGGCTATACACATGGATCTCACCTGATGGTATGCATAGGAATCAGATAGATTACATCTCTGGAAAGAATCACTGGAAAAGCTCAATATCAGCTGTGAAAACTAGGTCTGGTGCTGATTGTGGAACAGATCATCAAATACTCATATGCAAGTTTAAGCTGAAGTTAAGGAAAATGTAATCAAGTCCACAGGAACCAAAATATGACCTTGAGTCTATTCCACCCGAATTTCAGAACCATCTTAGGAACAGGTATAAGGCCTTGAACACTAATGAGTGAAGACCAGATGAGTTATGGGAAGATATCAAGAATATCACCCAGGAAGAGTGCAAAAGATCATTGCAAAGATGGAGGAGGACGAAAAGACCAAAATGGATGTCATAAGAGACTCTGAATACTGCACCGGAGCGCCAAGAAGACAAAGCAGAAGGAAGAAATCAAGACATTAAGGAGCTGAACAGATTTCAAAAGGCTATGTGACAAGACAAAGTATTATAACGAAATGTAAAAAGAGCTGGACCAAACATATATGAGGGTTTTTTTTATTCTCAGTTCTATTTCACTGATCTATATTCTTATTCAAGTATTATACTCTATTTCTGTAGCTTTGTGGTAAATCTTGAAATCATAAACTGTGAATTCTCCAATTCTGTTCTTTTTGAAGGTTGTTTTGGCTATTTTAGATATCATGCATTTCTATCTGAATTTAAGGATGAATTCTCAATTTCTGTAAAAAGCCAACAGAGATTTTAATAAAGATTGTACTGAATCTGATATTAATTTGGAAAGCATTGGCATCTTAGCAATATTAAGCCATTAAGGAAAAAAAATACTGGCCTCAGAATATAACTTTTAACTAAATAATAGGTTAGCTCAAAAGCAAAGATTGTCATCTTTGAGTATCATGCTCGTTAAAAACAAGTTATGTAATTTAATGTTATGTTATTCAGTAATGATAAATGGACATCACCTACTCAGAAGTACAGATGAAAACATGAGGCAATGAGATTAAGTTAATGTGAGTGAAATAGCTGGAAACAAAAAGAAGCAGAATGTTGATATACATCAAGAATGTAAACAATGTCACTGAACATTATGCCTAGAAATTTAGAAATTATCGAACAAGAGTTTACTTGCTATATATATTTTCACAAAAACGATGAAAAGAAAAAGGCATTTTAAAAAAGTAAAAAAAGAGATTGATTCCAGTTGCACCTCAGCCTACCTTCACCAAAGCACACATTTTAAATAAAGCATATTTGCAATACATTCAGCAGGTGTTGCTTTTGGATTTTGTTGTATGTCCCTTTTAGTTGTTGACCCATATTCGAGAGATCTTTAACAGACCTCTTCTCACTGAAGTTCAGAAGCAAAAAACTCTGAAACTTGAGTCTCTTTTTTAAATTATTTTTTTATTATTACTTTTAATGAACATTTGCAGAGATTTTGAATTTCCATTCATTCATTGTTGCACTTTTCTCCCCGCTTCCCCCCCAATTTGCTCTTCTCTTTGAAAAGTAAAATTCCTTCGTTGGTATACAATCCCCCTACACCCCCCACTCGCCACCCCAAGTATACTCCACTCTGCAACCTTCATTCCAGACTTCTATGATAGTCATAATACCCTATAATATATTGCTTTTGAGTCTCTTAACATGACCATCTGACTCACTGAATTGAATCCTTACCCTGGCTAATGGGACCTGTTAACTAACTTTCAGTATTAAACAATTCCACCTGAGGCCTCTTTGATATAGGACCCCTCCCCTGGCTTTGTTCCATTTTAGCAGAAAGTAGTTTTTAGAAGGTCTTCATGCCTTTTACCTTTCATTTTAAATTGGAAATATAAGGTTGAAACTAAAGGAATTGCATTTTACTGAACTTTTGACCCTACCCAAATAGATCCCTGTGTTTCAAGAAATAA